AGGACTCCACCATTAAAAATAATCTAATTCAATTCTGGTTTTAGAGAAGTTAGCATAATAGCGACTTATTAAAAATAAAGTCAGACGTTTCGTTGTCCTCTGTACTACGTTAACCACATAACTGTATTCAAAAATAATACAGAAATTGCTAATTTAGAAGTAGGAATGTGAAAACTCTTACCGGTATTCTAATTTTCTTTCACTGATGAACGGACAATAGATTATTTTGTTACCAGAATTTTTTCTGAGCTTTATTGATATTGCTATCTAAAAAAAAAACACTTTGATAATTGTGAAGGTAATATTATTAAGTCATTTGAGCATTTCTAAAAAAATAAAAAAGAGTTTCTCTAAATTACATGTATTGGAATTACAGATGAAAAAAGGAGAAATCATTTTTACGAAATAAATAAAACATTTGATTAATTTAAAACGTTAAATTTATGTCTGATATTCATCTTTTAAATCGATTTAAAGTCCAAGAACAAATATTTTGTTTATTTGTATGATTTTTTTTTTTTCTGTTCTTTTTATAGAGTATTTATTTTGTTACGATTTTGATAACGAAATTGGCTTCACGTTTAAATCTATCACCTTTTTTTAATTTGGCATGAAAGTAATTTTTTTTAGTTCGCGCGGTGTGATTTTTTACCTCATTATTTCGCAAATTATCAACCTACTGACCTAGGTGCGAATTCATAGTGATCAAATAGTGCACAAGTTTTATAACGTAATTTTAGCAAAAGTCAATAATACGAATGACGAAATTATTGAATATTTTATTGAGATATACTCAAACATTACTATTACTGTAATTTTCTAATAATTTTGTACTGACGTTCACGATGCTCAATTGCAACGAAAGATCTCAATCACTGCTTGAGAATTCTAAATAGTTTAATTTCCAACACATTAACCCATTAATTAAAGCGCTTGAAAACGCCCTATAACAGCCAACCTAGTATCACCCATAAAAAATGTAGCTGACGTTACTTACAATTACGTGGTTATGACATTTAACTTTTCTTGATTATTAATCATTATCGTTATACTATATTGTTCCGTATGACGTATATAAAGATTTTAACATTAACGATAATATTTAATATGGATAAAAAAAAAAACTTGTGGTTCATATATACGAAACAAGGTATGAAAATTATGCGATAAAAATGACTTCATATTTAACAGTGACGATGATAAAGAAAATCACTTGTATGATGTATGTGAACCAATACATGTATTATGATTCAAATCCTTCCAAATTCGAGAAGTCGTTTTGCCAAAGCTTTAAAATTTGAACGGGCCAATATTTCGGTTTGGTTTATTTCGTGAAATGTTTAGAATTTTTTTATCTAATATATAATAATTTGATAATGATAATTTAATGTTGACATTTTAAAAGAATATAATGCTTCTTACTTCTTCGAGCAATTCAACTTTTAATTATTTTTATATGTGCACTATTTAAAACAAACGCTAAAGTGTTTAGTTAAAAGTAAAAAAATTATTAAATATATATTTGATAAAAAAATTTTGTTGAATTATCGGAACTTTAAATTTCATGCATCAATGATTATATCGCTACATTTTTTTATGGGCGACCAGATTTTGTGTCATTCACATATATGTGCATGTGATCTTAATTATTTTTGTTTATAATACCAATACCGATACGCGCATAAATTTGATCAACAACTTTTAAATTTTATCTAAAAAATGTTTTCACAAAATAACAATCACAAATTTGACGTACCGACAAGATGGAGCAGAACTAAAGCATCGAGACTATTAACAATTGATGATAACAATCTAAGAATAAAGTATAATGGTATTAATAAATCAATTTATTTAAGATAATTTGGGATGAAGATAATTTGAATAATAAATTACTCTGTTCTAATAGGTCTTGGCCAAAACGATGATGAAGCTGCAGCATTAATTGCCAATAGCCCGTTTCGATATTCCATGAATATAGGCTATTTTGAAATTTATATCATAGAAGATGGATGTGATAATGGTCTTGAAGGGTATATAACTATGTTATTTCACGTTGCCATTTGTTATTACTTTATTCATTTTAGAATATCCTAGTTTTAAACTTGAATGGTATATTTTGACCTGGGTCAAAGTGACCCATCATATGATCATATACCTAAGAATTTTTAAAAACTTTGAGCGAAAATATCTCGATAACCATCAAATCAAATTCGATAAAACTTTCTTTATTTAAATCCTACGTATTGATTCGTAGAATTTGAATAAAGAAATTTTCATCGAATTTGTCAGGTAGTTATCGAGATATCTTCGCCACTTTGACTCGGATCAAAATAGAATCGGCCCATACTGTATGTTTTATTATAGTTCGAGACGTTTGGAATACTGCACCATCATCCTTAATTTACTTATAATGTTCTTTCTTTAGAAAAATAGGGATTGGATTTGGGTCGGCAAAAACATCAGTAAGACAACTACCAGGTAATTTATAAAAAAAATAGAAAATGTTCAAATATTATAATTAATAGCATAAACTTAAATAATTTTGAAATTTAAATGTATAGGGTGGTTTCCAGGGTCTTATGGGTATCACGGTGATGATGGAAACATATTTCACTCACAATTTAATGGTATGCCATATTCAACATCTTATGGAAAAGGAGACATAGTAGGATGTTGTATAGACTATAAGATTCGATCAATTTTTTTTACAAAAAATGGGATAAATTTAGGTCATTATAAGATCAATTATTGTATAGTAACATTTTATTGATCAAACTTAAATAATAAAGTAATATAATGATAAAAATTTTCGTTTTTCTTTTTTTTTTTTTAGGCATTGCCTTCGAAAACGTTCCATTAAGTGTATTTTATCCTATGGTAGGATTACGATATCCCGATCAAATGATTGAAGCAAACTTTGGAAAAAATCCATTTGCATTTAACATTCAATTATACAGATCATTTGCATGTCGGAAATAAAATGAATAAAGGTTGCTATTTAGAAATAATGTCAAAAAGAATTATATCGATGAATTTTAGTATATTATGTTACAAATGTTAATAGCTTTAAGATTTTGTTGCGATATCTATTGATATAAAAAATATAGTACATAGATAGAGAATATAAATCACAACATAATAATATATCTAACTATTCGAATACTCTCCAAATGACCATATTCTGAATAAGATATCTATGTTATTTGCTGAATAATTATTCAGAAGGGTATACTCGAATATTCGTATTCTACAAATATTATTCGAATATTATTCGGATAAAGAATATCGATATGAAGCTTTTAAGAATACAATTATTCTTATTCCGATTGAATAAACTTTTCTTTGTCAATGCTGTGTAAGGGCACTCAATTACCTCTTACACATATGTACTCATTTAATTTCTATTCTTAAACAAGTCAATAATTGAAAACAATGAATTGATATATATGTCTAATTCGAATAAAAGAACAGTTACGTATCAGTAGTACACATGTAATATGCATCACAAACGGTTTTTTAGCATCAAGAAAAAAAAAAAAGTTAATAATAATTTTTTCGTCTTATTTACTGCATCTTTATTGTTATTCGTATTTAATATTATCATTATGAAAGATAAGATATTAATAATTTCTTCCAATTTATGATGTCAATGAATTGTTAAGTGTTTATAGAATTATTATGATGACAATAAAGGATAAAGGTCATAATTTGTATGCCAAGATAACCTTTTTTGGTATCCCGTAAATTAAAATCATTCGATATCGATATCACATATATTACAGTATTAAAGTATTTAGATACTTATGATAAATACGTAACTGTAATTACGTATTATTACGATTATTACGTATTTCTTGGATCAATCTGTATGCAATAGAATGCATATACGGAGAATTCTATAAATAAATAATGTAACCATCATTGAAATAAATGGTCAAATGACATAGTACAAGGAGCTATATACGTAGGTTTTTCAGGGATTTAATTCATATATATAGTCGTAACGTTACGTAATTAAGAATTCGCTACGCTACGCTAATTTTATTCATGATCAATAATAAAAAAAATATATATCAAAAAATAAAAAAAATAAAATTATGATACGTAATTACCCAAAGACGTTAACTTCCAAAGATCGATTTGGAACTATTAATCATGTGATTTTACTGTCGTGAAATTATATTGGGAGAATACAAAGAAAATTTATGTGTCCAAAAATTTGGTTACTGAAAAGAATAAGTTTGGGTGAACGATCCATTCAACAGAGGTCCCTGACTGCATGATTCAAAACTAAGTTTGTAAGATTGTTAACTTGCCGATCTAGTCAAATTTGATGATGCCCCCTTTCCCCAAATTAAGTTAATTATAATAAATATAGCTTACATTTTCTTCGTATATTTCTTCATTTCTTTTCCTCCTAATTAAATTCCTTCAAGTTGTGTATACTACGGCTATCCGTTTCTGAACCTCATAACGATGTTAACGATTAATAATACTAGAAAAAATTCTTTGATTCATTCACCCGGTGGGGAAGCTCTTCGACTTCTTGTTAATGGTCCTATTGACGCCGGTGTTAATAATACTGTTGCTCAGGCTACTTTTAATGAAAAAAAGTGGGTCTGGGTTGAGGATAAAAAAGCGGGTTATGTCGCAGGTTACATAACTAAGGATATGGGGGAACAAGTGGAAGTCCGCTTGAATAATGATTCGGTAAATTTTTATAATTCAATTCAAATTCTTTATTTTTGAATAAATAGAATTTTTTTTTTTATTTAAAATTATCTAATTTTTTTTAATTTTTTATAAAATTAATAAACTGTATTTCTGTCTAAAAGACACGAATAGTTAATATTAACGAAACTGATAAAATGAATCCACCTAAATTTGATAAGGTGGAAGATATGGCTGATCTAACGTATCTAAATGAGGCATCGGTTGTTCATAATCTTCGATTAAGATATCTTTCTAACCTGATATATGTAAGTAACACATAAAAAGTAAATTATATAAATTATATATTATATATATATGTAAATTATATACAAAAATTCGCATATAAATTATTTTATAAAAATTTTTTATGTAAATTATGTAAAAAAAAAAAAAAAAAAAACGAATGTTATAGACGTATTCCGGCCTCTTTTTGGTCGCTGTTAATCCTTATCAAAATTTTCCGATTTACACCGATGAAATAATTCGATATTACAAGAACAGGCGGCATCATGAAATGCCTCCTCATATATATGCTATCGCGGATTCCGCGTATCATGAAATGTTACAAGAACGTCGAAATCAGTCCATATTAATTACGTGAATATTTTTTCATATATATTTATTATACATGTTTTATTATAAAGGTATTATTTTTATCATTTATTATGAACTAATTTTTTTTTTTTTACGTATGTCTTTTGCTTGTTTATTTTAGTGGTGAATCCGGTGCTGGAAAAACGGAAAATACGAAAAGGGTTATACAATACATCGCCGCGATTGCTGGTGATAGTTCTAATACGAAAATACTTGGTAAACTCGAGTCACAAATTCTTCAAACAAATCCTATACTTGAAGCTTTTGGAAATGCATTAACTATTCGGAATAATAATTCTTCACGATTTGTGAGTTTAAAATTTATTTATTTATTTATTTGTTTATTTATTTATTTATTAATTTATTTTTTTTAAAAAAAATATATATATACAATTTTTCAAGGGAAAATTCATTCGTATTGAATTTAATTTATCTGGCCAAATCGTGGGTGCTAATATTGAACGCTATCTGTTTGAAAAATCCCGTGTAACTTACCAAACATCGGAAGAACGTAATTTTCATATCTTTTATCAATTATTAAGAGGTGCTTCGCCTCAAATCAAAAGTATGTTTTCAAAATTCTTTTTTTTTTCCCTATTCATTTACAATAATATAATAATTAACCTTGCATTTTTTGATTCATTATATTTATAAAAGGTAAATTACTTTTGAATGGATCTTTGAATGATTACAGATTCACCAAAAACTCATTAAAAGACATTGAAGGCGTCAATGATTCCATAGAATACCAAGCTCTTGTCGTGAGTAACACCCGTTTTATGTTATTGTTTCATTTAAATTTTTATTTTACTATCGATAATTAACAGCAATTAACAATAATTAATATTTAATATTAATTAATAAAAAATATAGGATGCTATGAATGTGATTGGCATTTCAGAAGATGAACAAATTGATCTATTTCGCGTGATTGCTGCGGTTTTACATCTCGGCAATATTGAAATAGCTTCAAGTAGAAATGATCAAGCTCAAATTTATGAAACTTCTATTTGTGAAAATGTTTGTAATTTATTGGGTATACCTGTCGCAGAATTTATAAAAGGACTTCTTAATCCTCAAGTTAAAGCTGGTAGAGAATGGGTTATTCAAGCAAGAACTAAGGAGCAAGTTCTTTATTCTATTGAAGCACTTGCTAAATCATTATATGAACGAAGTTTTTTCGCTTTAGTTGATCGAATCAATAAGGCTATATACAGACCTAATAATAAATCATTTTTCATTGGTGTTTTGGATATTGCCGGATTTGAAATTTTCAAAGTAAATCTTTATATCTTTTTAATAAGTTCTTTTATAAAATTTTATAAATTTTATACTGATTTCCTTTTTTTTCCTAAAGGTTAATAGTTTTGAACAATTTTGTATAAATTATACAAATGAAAAACTTCAACAATTCTTTAATCATCATATGTTTGTCTTGGAGCAAGAAGAATATAAACTTGAAGGTATCGAATGGAAGTTCATTGATTTTGGCTTGGATTTACAGCCAACAATTGATTTAATAGATAAAGCCAACGTATGTTCTTATTATTTTTGATTTTTGCATTTAATAATATCATTAATGTTATCCATTAACGCTATCCGTTAATGTTAACATTAATGTAATCCATTAATGCTATCCATTAATGTTATCACTAATATTAATGTAACTCATTAATGCTATCCATTAATGCTATCACTAATATTAATGCTATTCGCTAATGTTAATGTTATCATTAATGTCGTTGTTAATGTTATTAGTTAAAGTTATTAATTTTAATCAATCTTTTAATAACAATTTAGCCCATTGGTATTCTATCTTGTCTTGATGAAGAATGTGTAATGCCTAAAGCTACTGATAAAACATTTGTCGAGAAATTACATAGCTTTTGGAAAGATAAATCTTCAAAATATCAAGTTCCTCGTTTTCAAGAAGGTTTCATTTTACAACATTATGCCGCCAAAGTAGAGTACAAAACTTCAGGATGGCTTGATAAAAATAAAGATCCTCTTAATGAAAATATTACTAAATTATTGGCTCGTTCTTCTAATCAATATATTTCTTCACTTTTTTCTGATTATCTTGGAGATATAACCGATAATGATAAAAAGAATAGAGTTAAACGTGGTGTTTTCAGAACAGTTGGTCGTCATCATAAAGAACAATTACATTCTTTAATGCAACAACTTTATTCAACACATCCTCATTTTGTACGTTGTATCGTTCCTAATGAAGAAAAATGTCCTGGAAAAATTGATGTTCCTCTAGTTCTTGATCAATTACGTTGTAATGGTGTTTTAGAAGGAATTCGTATATGTCGTGCTGGTTTCCCAAATAGATTATCTTTTGATGAATTTCGTCGTAGATATGAAATTTTAACTTCTGGAATTCTTCCTAAAGGACCCATAAGTAGTAGAGATGCTGCAGAGAAACTTTTGGATGCTTTTAAATTGGACAATTCTCAATATCGTATAGGGTCAAGTAAAATTTTCTTTCGTTCTGGTGTGGTATGTTTATTATTTTCTATATTATGCTTTAAATTTTTCTCGATCAATAAATATACAGTATATATATATATACATTGATATTTATTACTGTATTATTTTATTTATTTTAAATTGATTTTATTTTATTTTTATTTTATTTTATTTTATTTATTTATCGTTTTTTTTTTTTTTTTATTTTATTCTATTTTTTTGTATACAGTTGGCAGAATTAGAAGAAATTCGGGATACAAAGCTTTTTCAACTATTTACCGATTTTCAAGCACACTGTAGGGGTTGGCTTGCGAGAAAAGAACATGTAAAACGTAACGAAAGACTTCATGCTGCTCTTGTTATTCAAAAAAATATTAGAGCAATTAATGCATTAAAAGCGAACCCTTGGTGGAAACTTTTTTTGAAAGTCAGGCCAACATTAAATTGTACTAAAGTTGAAGAATTACAACGACAAATACGACTTAGGGATGATAAAATACGTGAATTAGAAGAAAAATTACTTCAAGAATATGAAGCAAAGAAAAAATTGGAAACTTTAAATTCTCGGCTTGAAAATGAAAAAACAGATCTTGAAGAATTATTACAAAATGAACGTTCTTTGGTCATTGATAAAGAAGAAATTTTGAAACAAACACGTCAAAGAGAGGTAGATCTTGAAGATGAAGTTAAAGAATTAAATGATGAACTTAATGAACTTGCAGGAAAATGTGAACAACTTTCACAATCAAAGAAAATCTTGGAAAATCATATGCAAGAAAATGGCCTTTTGAATACACAAACTCAATTCATAGCTCAGCAAGATATAAAAAATAATCAAATTATTAAAATTGAACATTCTAACATTGGTTTTGTTAACCAAATTCATATATTACTTAATCAAATTCATTTATTAATCAATCAAGTTCATATATTACTCAATCAAGTTCGTATATATGTCTAATCAAATTTCGTAGGTTTGTAGAATACTATTGTTATTCTATTATATATATATATATAGTATATAGTATATCGTAATTGTAAAAAAAAACTATGATTTGTAATTTTAGGTTATGTGTTGTTTTTTTTTTTGATTGATATGAAATTGTATCTAGATATCGATATTTGTTGTTATTGAAACCTTTCATTCGTATCGGTATTAGTAATATAGTTTAATTATTATGTAATATAAATCTTTGTATTTTTAATAATAATAAAGGAATAATAATTATCCAACTATAACTATCTGTTATCTATTTATCTATTTCTATATCTGATATAACGATAACTTTTATAAATTCTAAATTTATTCACATAATGATAACTAATGAAATTATAAAAATGAATAACATGAATGAAGATATTGACTAAAATCTTCTAAAATAAAAGTTAAAATTGATCTCATGAGTAAGAATGAATAATGTGAACGAATATTTTTTATCTTTAAAAGGACTAGAAAATGAATATGTGTATTTACAAAATATATCAGATGACTAAATAGTGACAACGAACTTTCTCTTATCATTCATAATTTGTATCATTAATATGAAAGTTTGAGACCAAATAAATATATAAATCGAGATAAAAAAAACATCCAATTTTAGGAATGCATTTCATACGTACCCATCCAAAAAGTGATAGTGCATCACTTAAGGTTTGAGATTCCAACCAATTGGACAAATAGGAAATTTCTCAAAAAATATACGTAAACTTTTAAGGAACTACAATCTACGCTTTTATTTTGCGGATTTCAAAATGCTCATTGAAGAATTACAATTTTGGATTATTTGTATCGTATCACATTATTGTTAAAATAACGATAGCGATAACATACATACGTAATCGGAATCATATAAATTATTCACAAACAGAATATATTATTGTACTAAAACAGGCCAATACATCAACCAGACCGCCGGTAACTATCGCCGCCGGAGAAAAGGATGTGGTCTGGTACCACATTCCAAGAGCAGGTCATAGTCCTTCCAGGAAACCGTTAAGAATTTTGAGTTATCTGAATTGAAATTTGGGAAGACATGTAAGGTTGTAGTATTGAGAATATACTACGTATTAAGGCCGTTCGAAGTTAATTCTTCGGTTAACATCACCTTTAGAACTCTTGGGAGAGGGAGGGGGGTAAAATGAAACGAACATATAAAAATGGGCCAATTTCATTGGTCGACGTAAATCAAGTAATTGGCGAAAGTTATCCAGCGTTTTGATTGGTTGTTCGTTTATCGGGGGGAGACTTCAGAGGAGGGAGGGGGGATGATGTTAACCGAAGAATCAACTTCGAACGGCCTAAGTGGAATACTGTATTGGAGTTTTACGATCTTTATAAGACTGGTGAGGCAAGATCTTGAACATCTAGTATAAAGTTATGCTTTGCAAAGATGTTGAGTTTTTAGAAAATTTATATCAAGTTCAGAGCTTAAAAAAATCAGTTATTTGCAATTATTTTCACATCTAGTAGTTTAATTTGAATAAACTTTTTTTAAAATAAAAGCTTTGTAAAGCATATTTAATAACAAAAAGTTTATTCAATTTGGATTACTAGATCTAAAATATTTTAAAAAAAACATTTTTATTAATTTTTAACAAATTAAATAGTTTTTAAAAAATTTAGTTATAATTTATATTAGTAATATCTAGAGTTTTAGCAAAATAAAAATTAAGGGTAGGGTGTTCGCAGATCAATTTTCATAGTAATCATGTGGGCTTGGTTCTGCAAAAAAGAGGGAAAATAACAATTTTTTAAAAAAATTTTTTTTAAGCGTAACTAATGCAAAATTATCTTAGGAATCTTTTTTCTTATTTTAGAAATACGATTATCTTAATAAAATCTTGAGATACTAATAACAATAATGTAATCCGTGTTTTGATCGGAAAATTGTTGTGTAACATTACGATGTAGATCGGATAAAATTTTCAGAATTTATCGTGTCATGTGAAATTTGGATGATCCTAATCTTAACCAATCAGGTTCATTAATTTTAGCACTTCTGAATATATGCCAGATTTATTAGCGTAGCAAAAAGCCAGTGAGTTTCTTATTTACTGGCTATGCACGATTCCCCGAAAATTATTTCCAGACTCGACATCACACAGGGTGACAACTTGCTAAAAATAAATACCTGCAACTAATAGAATGCTAATCCTAACCCTATGTGATGTCGGGTAAGTGACCTGTCTTTTGGGAAATTGAGCGACAACCGTAAAGTGGCATGCGGATTAAGACTAGCAGAAAAATTATGCTAACTTTTCCTGTAATCTGTCCTTATCAAAGAACTAACTTTAACAGTGCATAGTCAAGTTGTGCAGTACGGTAGTGAGATTAGGTCAGATTTATGAAAATATACTAACTTCTGACATATATACAATTTATAAAAAAATTCTTAATTAATTATCCACTTCTAATAAGCTTTGTATAATGGTTACGAATCAAGAATTGATAACTAAGTATTACCTTTATACTCGTTTGGGCACTTTATATACAATCCTAACTAACTCTATTTCTCTAACCTTGCAGCTGGGTTTTAGAATTCTAATTTAAGTGTAAGACTTTTCTTGATATTACGTATTTACTAGTAATTTAATTATTGATCAAAATTTATATCAGTTTATTTAATCACAATTTTATCAGTGATGGATTTATATATAAGAGATCAAATTAAAGCTAAATAGCTTTTACTCTCTCTCTCTTTGATCAGATTAGATACTAAAAAATCATATCAATTTTTATGAATTCGAGAACACACCTATTTGGTTTTGCTATAACTTGTAATGAAACTTGTAATTTCTTGAATAAAATTAATCTGCACTATCACATAAAGAAATAGTATGTATTGATAAATTAGTTTTTATTGTCTATAATTGTAAATATCTAAATTCCCACATATTTGAATTAGGTTCTGAAGTACTTTGGTATGGTGCTATTAAATCATAGTGCCTATTATCTTAATCTAGAAAGTTATCAACAATCCAGCACCAAGTTAGTTCAAGGCCATAAGCATATACTTGGTTAGTATATTAAAAGAAAGTTTTACTGAATTGTACAATTTAGCATTTATTTTCTGAATTGCATAATTTTGTTTTTATAATATAGCGATAGTGATAGTAGAAATTATACACTAGATTGTAGATCTGTCAATAATTGGAATACTGTAGATGTGAAAATTCAGTCTGCAACAAAATTAGACAATTCAAGTTTACAGCATATCCAAATTGTTGGCATCAGGTTTTAAGTAGTTAAGGTTATACCTGTACGATTTATTTTTTGAACCAATACCAATATAATAAAAATGCCATATCCATATCCAGCTAATAATAACTGCGAGCACATGCAGAACCCCAACACAGCTGTTTATAGAATCTTGTGTATTTTAAATTAAGAAGAATAGTTCTTGGTTTGTTTGCATACGTAGAATGTAATGATAAGTATAATAACAGCACTTAAAGTTTTGTAAAAAAAAAAAAAAAAAATGAATTTAACATATACATTAGTTTCGCCAATTTTTTAGAAACACATTCTGAAATTTGTTCATTAACGGAAGATTTTAGCCAACTTAAAATCTTTTACCAACCCAAGAATGATTATAAAATCGAAATGAAAGAAGTACTTGAAACAAATGATCTTTATTCTGAAAACATATATGATCTAGAAAATGAAGAAATAACATATTTTGATAATCCAGTTCTTACACCTTCACAAATTAAAAAATTTTAAAAAATATTTTCTCAAAATACTATTGAAGAAAATAACGAAGAACAAGAAGTTAATGAAAAATTAACTATTATCCTAGATTAGCAAGAAAAAGAAGCATTTATTCATAAACTTTGTATAACAGTTTGTTGTAAAACTAAAACATGTTTAGCCAAAATCGATCATGAATCCGCATTTAATATTTTTGATGATATTCGAAAATTATCAAAAGTTGAATACAATATGCTTTTATTAGGAATGCTTCATGCAATGACTTGTCCTAAAGAAACTTTACGGGGTAAAGAAAAACAATACCTAACCGTTAAATATACTTTTGACAGAAAAGAAATTTGTGAAAAAGGATTTCAAATTATATATTCATTATCAAATAAAAAATGGGAAAATATTCGTCAACATTATCGTATAAGTAGTATTAAACCTATTAAACATGCCCTTTCAGCAGGAAAATCTCATAATGCTTTGTCATTTGCAACTATTTTAAATGTTCTTACATTTATCGTTAACTTTGCAAACTGTCATGGATTGCTGTCACCAGGTAAAATTATTATTTTAAAATATTATTTTACTAGTGATTGATTATGGGTTTCCGCTATTATTTTTGAGTACAACGTAATTTAAAGACAATAGAGAAATAGTCTCTAGCTTCAATTAATAAAATGGGAGAATAACATATTTATTTTACAATAAGGGTGCTCCCAAGCACATAAATTATAGATCGGATCTCAATTTTTAATTAGTAAAAAAATAGTTTAGCCAGTCAAGTAAGTCTATCATCGCAATGAAAAAAGATGGTCAAGACCCTCTTTTTTATCACAGAGTTGTACTAGTTAACTAAAATTTAATATCCGCATTTTGCACAATAAATCTTTAGCAAAATTGCTATAAAGATTACTTCAATTAAGTATGTTGCTTTTACGATCTCGATCATTAGCAAGTTTCATTGAGAAATATGCTTGAGACATTCTAATAACTATATATTTTTCTAGATTTTTTTGGCACTGATAAGAGCAGAAAAATCTTCTATAAAGTTAGAATAAATAATATATATTAATAAAATTACTTTGATTAGGCTGGCATTTTCGAGAAGACACTATGGCCATTATATTTCTTCCTGCTAATGAAAGTTATTCTGGACTATACTGTACTTATCAATCAAATTTAGAGGAAGATTCTAATCACCATATTAGTCAATCATCTTTTATGCGAATTTGAAAAAAATATGTACCAGAAATTCGCTTTTTATCTTCTAGAAGTGATCTCTG